TAGCGGCGTTCGCGCCTATCTTCTCGCGGCGACGGCGAGCGATAATAACGTTGCTCGCGCCTGTACTCCCCCCGTTCCGTTCTATGGTTCGCATAGACACGCGGAGGAGCCTCTCGGGCGCCCTCCCCTCGTTCGCCTCGCGGATCGCGTGAGGTTAACGGAGGGGGTAGTTCTACCTGCTGCCTAGCTCGATCGCGTTTATCTAGCCATTCGTTGATCCGTACCGTAGTCTCAAACGGATTCTCAACGACGCTCTCACGCTCGCTAGCGTCAGCTTCTTCACGTGTGGCCTGCGCGACGAGTCTTTCCTGAATGAGCGCGGCCTGCAAGTCTAAATGTCTACGCCTAACGTTCATGTCTTCTAACTCAACTTCTAGCTCGGCTCTAGCGCGCGCGGCCGCGCTAGACGCCGAGACACGCGAACGAGCGGAAGTACTCCCTACCCTACACGCGGCGGGACGCGATTCCGTTACGCGTGCTAAAGTCGCGGCGGCGTGAACATTACTCAACGGCGGTGCGGGCCTAGAGGATTCGACATTGCCTACTTGATTAGTCTGGAGACTACTATCGTCCCCCGGGGGATCGTTCGGGATAACGCTTGCGGCGAGTTCGGACGGCGACTGCGGCGGTTCCTCGAAAACGCGCGGCGGTATCGCGCCTAATTGCTGCTTCCTATGTTCCATGGCGGCTGGCTCGTCCTCCCCGATACCTTGACTCCTAGTCCTAGGCATAAAGCCTCCTATCGCCCTAACACCCTAAGTCTTGAAGATCGGCTCCTGTGCCTTGAAAAAGGCAGTCTTCTTGCCTCGAAAGAGGCAGTTGTCCCGTAATGCCCGCGTTTGTCACCGTTAGGTGCAGGCAACGGGGGATGAAACTTAGGACCTTGAAACTTAGTATGTTGAAACTCAAAACCTTTGGCGGACCTTAAATCTGCCACTTTTACGCGGTGCTTCGTGATGTGATGGCTTCGGCACTTCGCGCACGTTGTCCTAGCACGGAGGACACGTTGGCTTCGGCTCTTCGCGCACGTTGTCCTAGCGCGGCGGACACGTTGGCTTCGGCTCTTCGCGCACGTTGTCCTAGCACGGAGGACACGTTGGCTTCGGCTAACTTTTCGTGAAGCGTGGGGTTCGTTCGTACCCACGTCGATACAATCTATGATCTTCGTTTTCTTCAGCGCCGTGTGGGGGTCGTTCG